ACCATAACGATTAGCCATTATTTTTGGTTCCATACTTAAGCTCCTTTAATCACTGTGGTCTCATTCGCCGGTGCCACTTCTTCCCTAATACCAAATTTTACAACGAAGATTTGAGAAGCCACGTCAGTGGCATCAGAAAGCGAACTCGATTCTTAAGGACAACTACCACGATTTGCATCTCTGTAAGCAAAAGGACGCTTGTAACTTATGTGGGAGCTCCCAACGGTCTTTATTAGAAAGCAAGAATAAAAGTGTTTTCTTATTAAACTAGTTTCATACAGTACCTATTTGAAGGTATTTGTAAAGCAAAGATTGGGCGCCTCCTCTGCCTCACTACTTGCAAGTTATAATCTGGCAGAGATGCCGGGACAGCATGGGTAAAATGTATCCAAAACCTTATTCCGTAAAACCATTTTCAAGCCTAATTTTAGTCCAATGCCTTGGCTTTTAGACAAACGTTCTTCGGGTTAGTGAAAGGCATGCGTGATGGCCTCCGTATTCACGTACCTTCTGACGCGACTTCCAGACAGGTCAAAAATCCTGGTGGTGCAGAATTAGCAGTTGGTGTCAGTTGTTCTTTTAGGTGCCCATGGATTTAGTGGCAAGGTGGTATTCCTACGGTGCCTACCACGACTTCAAGGCTTATGGAGGAGGAGGAGGAGGAGGAGAAGAGAAGTGTGCTGGGACTAAAGTTAGCACTTCACTTTGTTCTCAGGCCATCCCATTAGCCACCGGTCCTTCTGTGAAAAGAACACATAGCCTGCGTTAAAGGGAGACCTGAACTGCTACGCTAACAGCAATCAATACATAGAAAAAGAATAAAATGTTAATGAGGTAATGCGCGCTGACCTTCGTTGACTCCATGACCTATCGGATTTAGGTTCATGATTTTCAAGCCGATTCTTTGCACTTATTTTAGTTTTGTATGATCTCGTCAACGAATAAAACAATGGAAAGTGAAGAAGATCGTTGCAGGCATGCATTTCCAACTATGGTACAACACTGACCTATTCTACTTGATGGCATTTGAAGGCGCAGAGTACCTTGAGCATGGAACCCCGCCGATTTCTAACCAAATTGGAATCACTACCTTTTTGCGACTACAATTCTTGCGCTTTTACCCTACTTTCACTGATCAAAGTAGAAAAACTTTTAATGTCTCTCGAGTTGAATAAATATGCTCGATTGCGTAACTGCTCATAGATCCAAGAGATGTAGAAGTATATTTCACCAACGCTCTCTTTTGCTTACGACGGCGCTGGAAAACGCAGCCATGGTATTTCCGTCCGACAACGCGGACTCCACTCAGGTTTAGAGTCTCCAGGCCATCAGTAGGATAAAACATTCCAATCGCGGTATGATGACCTTCCTCGTCTTGGGGAACGATCTGAGATGCCATCTGTGGAACACTTCCTATATTATCACTACCAACCAAGAGGCAAGTGGAGAAAGTATTATAGGCTCTTATCGAAAACGCATTGGACCACAGCACTCACCAAATTAGCAGTCTACACACTGAAATTTGGGCGGGTGAAAAATTCCGTTTATTTATTTACAATTGGATCGTAGGACCGTTTTAAACTTGAATGAAGTTGGGAGGTAAAAGCCTATGAATGGTAGATTAGTGGTCTCAGTGTTTGAATATATCTTACCTCTCTTCAGAATTCATAAGCCTTTTAGCAGCGTAGCTTTCGATTATAAACAATGCACAGAAATGGCAGCTTCGGAACTCAAAGCGGAGAACAACACTGAGTCACAGAGCGAAGCAAACACCAAGAGATGAGTTATCAAGTGAAGCCATAGGCTTTTTTGGCAGATCAAGTTTTCCTCAAGTCTTCAACCCTAGACAGACACCAGCATCGAAAGCAACCAATTCGAGCATTGCCACCTGACGACAACCAACGCAAGTTGCAAACAAGATTTACGCTATTTAACACCTACATGATTAAAACGACTCAGCATTGTGCGCACTGAAAAAATAGTTTCATGCAAGGCCGATCAATTGAAAAAGTAGACCCGGAGTCACGTGACTGAGACTCCGATTTCGTTACACACTGTGAAGGGCTTACACTCATAATAAGGGTAAAAAAGAAAAAAGTGCCACAGCTTCTATTGTAAATCACGCAACAAACACGAAGACGTAGGTGAATGCATAAATGACTGACGAGGAAAATTTTGTACGGCAACAATGGACGAATAGAAGCATGCTCATGATGGCAAGACAGGAGCATTTGATTAAAAGTAATAGATCGTTTTTGGTGAGTGGAGAAAGAGAAAGTAAGGTTCTAGAGGGTCGATTTACAGACCGGGATAGGGATCGTGTCTTCGGCCAGCAGAGGGATAAGGAGAACAAGAGGAGGATGAGCGGGGTTGAGAATGATGTCCCCCTGCCGAGTTCTCCATTTCACTCAGCTTTTCAATCTTGATACGCCTAAGGTTGAAGGACTTTCGAAGGGTAAACATTTCAGAGAGGAAATCGTCCAAGGCAATCTGTTCTTTCATGAATTTCTTCTGAAGCTGTTCTGACATTTCGTCCTCCTCAGAATTGGCTACCTTCATCAGAGCCAGCATTGTTTGGATTGAAAAGGAGCCGCGAATTTCATCTTCAATCAAGGGAAGGAGAAAGATTAATAAAGTGGAATATTCCCATGTGCCATCTTGACGACAAGTTGCTCATGATTAATGTGTGTGACGCACTTGAAGTGCAAGATCAGAAAAAACCAATGAATGCGCATTTCGGCAAGATCCAAAAAATTAAACTGATGAAACCACAAGAGACTTACCCAATTTGCTTTTGTAATTGCTATACTCCTTCAGGGCTTCGTTAAACTTGTGATGGGCAAGTGTTAGTTCAGCTTTTACCCTTTCCATCTCGGGTTCGTGACTAAGATTTTCAATCGCTTTTTGTTGATTACTTTTCCTAAGACGATTCTTATCAGCTTTGAGCTTTTTTACAGTTGGAGATTCCATCACCATCTTGCGGATTTTCTCATCGTCATTAAACAGATCATCCAGTTCAGACTTGCTCATGCCAGCAAGTTTTTCATCGAAATTCTCCATAGTCATTCCGTTAAATGACATTTCTAAAAGAGCCAAGAAGCGCCTTGATTATCTCCTGTCCTTTTACTAATCAGACCTAAAAAAAGGACAAACTACAGGAATAAAGGCTATAGTTCAATATCAACCAAAAAACGAAATATGACTATGCGACAAAATGAAGAGTTTGAGTCAAAATAGCGCTGAAATATATACTACACATAAAACAAATCATTAACAAAACAACCTCAGTTCTTGTAGAACAAACGCCATCAAACTAACTTTACGTAAATAAACAAGTCACTTAAAAGGGGAGAAATTCCTGAACATTCGCAAAGAAGACAGTTACCATTGAAGGTACATTAGAACACCCCGAGTTGAACCAAAAGATTGGAAAGGTGCAGCGGGCTAAGAAGGTCAAATATGAGACATCGGGAAACAAACAATAATCTGCGAATTTAAAAGGCTGATACCTGCAAAACGCATCACATTTTACGCAAGAATTAGTCGAGTACTTAAACGAATCATTAAATTAAATGGTTAAGCAGAGTTGGTTCGTGTTATTTTCTTATAGACACCTTAATTTTAATGTCAAATCAAGTATGCATATTAAGTCTCCAAAAATTATTTGCTGTTT